TTTATTTGCTGTATTATATATCTACTTATTTATTTATTTTTTATTTATTTGCTGTATTATATATCTACTTATTTATTTATTTATTTATTTATTTATTTATTATTTATTTATTTATTTATTTATTTATTTATTTATTTATTTTAATTTTCTTTTTTCTGTGTTTATTCCTCAGCATTTGTTGTGCATGCATGATGGTGGTTTTAGTGTTTTGATAGAAGAGTAACATTAAAGTTTTTAAGATTATTTATATTTGTTTGCTTTTGTTTTGATTATAGTATAAGATATTATTCCTAATAAGAAGCTAAAGAGAAAGAAACTTTGTTTGTTTGTTCTGGGGTGTATGTACATCAGATATATGCATGCATTAGAATGTGTAGGGTATAAAGCTGAAGCACACGGAGGCCAGGCTATTCGCTGCTGCGTTGCTAATCCTGCTGCTGCCGAAATATTTACTGCTGGTAAAGACAAAAAACTGATGGTAAATAACTCCTGCTGCTGCTGCTGCTTATGCTGCTGCTGCTGCTGCTTATGCTGATGCAATGCTTATGCTGATGCTGCTGCGTATGCTGCTGCTGCTGCGTATGCTGCTTATGCTGCTGCTGATGCTGATGATGATGATGTCGGTGCTGCTGATGATGAAGATGATGGTGATGCTGTTGCTGCTGCTGCTGCTGCTGCTGCTGATGATGATGATGATGATGATGATGCTGCTACAACTACAACTATCATTAAGTGTTTCATTGCTTTACTGTCTCTACGATTTGCTGCTGCTATCATCCGTTGCTGTTTCTGTTGCTGTTGCTGGTGCTTCTGTTGCAACTGCTGTCATCTGTTGCTGCGTTTGCTGCTGTATGCTGTTGCTGCTGCTGCAGCGCTGGCAGGTGTGTCAGGGCAGCAGTACTGTTGGCGACGTTGACAGCAGCGGGGAGGCCTTATTAGAACTACGGTTGCTTTCATGCACAGACATTGCTTCAGAAGTTGTTTGCTTAAAGCTTCTTGAAGGGGCTCTCTTTGCCGGTTTAGCAGATGGAAGCATTAAAGCATTTCTTGCTAACGGAAGTGTTATGGACCTGAAGGTATTACTTTTGTTCTTTTCATATTGTTGCTGCTGATGATCATGCTGCTGCTGTTGTTCTTATTGTTGTTGTTGCTGCTGCTGTTGCTGCTGCTGGTGATGATGATGATGAGGATGCTGCTGCTGTTGCTGCTGCTGATGATGATGGTGCTGTTGATGATGATGATGATGATGATGCTGTTGATGATTATGCTGCTGCTGTTGATGATGCTGCTGCTGCTGCTGTTGATGCTGCTGCTGCTGCTGCTGTTGATGATGCTGCTTGTGATGATAGTGTTGCTGCTGCTGCTGCTAAAGATGATAATTATGCTGCATCTGATGATGATAATGCTGCTGCTGCTGGTGATTATGGTGCTGCTGCTGCCTTTGCTGCTAGTGATGATGCTGCTGATGTCGCTGCTGCTGATGTTGTTATCGCTGCTGTAGCTGCTTGTGTTGATGCTACTGCTCCTGCTGCTGCTGCTGACATTGATGATTATGGTGCTACTTCTGCTGCTGCTGCTGCTGCTGCAGGGTCATGAGAAGAGTGTATACAGTTTGCTGCTAGTAGAAGGTGTATTAATATCTGCTGACTGGGGAGGGTTAATATGCTTCTGGAAGTATGAAAAGGAGACAGAAACTTTTATTAAAGCGCATGCATTACATACTAATGGCAGCATCAGCTGCATGCAAACTGCTGATATTGCTGCAGCACAGGGGGCCCCCCAGGGGGTACAGCAAGGGGGCCCCCCGGGGGCCCCTGAAAATGCAGCTAATCCACCTTCACCTACTCCGCAAACAAAGAAGTAAATATATTAAATATATATAATATAATATACATGCATATATACTATATATTATATATATAATATACATAATATATATTACATGTATTGTATATATTATATATATAGTTTTAAATATATAAATATATATATGTATATTTTATTTAATATATATAATATATATTGTTATTCATTCGGCTAAAGAGACTGCTATCTTTTCTTTTTGTGTCTATGTTTGTTGTTGTGTCTGTCTTGATTTTATTTTTTAACATTACACAAAAAGAAGATTATAATTAAGAAGGCAAAGATGTTGATTGTATTTGTTGGGTGTCTGTCTTTATTGTGTTTGTTTATTTTATTTGTTTGTGTATTTAATTAATAATATTTTCTTTATTTCTTTTTGTGTATTTGTTTGTTAGGGTGTTGTGGGCGGGAGGCACTGCTCTATGCATTATTGACTTGCAGCAGCTGCAGGTTTTAAGGGTTTTAGATATCTCTGATGTTAAAGGCAATGGGCCGCCTCTAGTTCTTGTAAACCCTAAACCCTAAACAACCCTAAACCCTAAACCCTAGGACCCGTTAGCGGGACTATGATCCCTAAACCCTAAACCCTAAACCCTAAACCCTAAGACCCGTTGGCGGGGCTGTTAATACTTAAACCCTAATAAACCCTAATATATATATATA